CGCGCGCCTCGGCTCAGGCGGGGCCCTGGGGCTGCCGCCGCCCTCCCGCGCAGGTCGCCCCGCGCCGCACGCGGATCTTCTCGGGCTCGGCCTCCCGCTGGCTCCAGCTGTGGGTTTTGCTCACAGCTTCCCCTGACCGACGGAGCCCACAGAACCCGCAACGTTCAAGTCTGGCCAGCGACCTGGAACCCGGCGGATCTCAGTCCTACGGGGATCGGCGCTCAGTCCCTTTCCGCGGCCGGGATCCCCGCTCCGCCCCGGGGCGTGGGCCACGTGGTCCCACGGCCGCCCCAGCCCGAGGGTGCAGCGGGCCTGGGGCTTCTCACCGCCGCTGCAGGGGCCTCCGAGCTCGGGACCCCCAGGGTCTCCTCCCGGGGTCACGGGTCCGGGCGCCTCTAGGGGCGAACTCTCTGGATGGACCAGAGAGCACGAGAACGCAGATGGCTGGAGTTTGGGTTTTGTTGTTTGTTTATAAGTTATGGAACTCCGATTCAGAAGTTTTGTCGGTGCCAGTAATAATGATGATGAAATTAGGTCTGCTGTTCTGATTAAAATAAAGTGTGCCTACCTGCCGAAACCGAGCTATGTAAATAATTGTGATTTTCATCGTTTTGTCACTTTTCTTGCTTTATATTAAATATGTTGAGAAATGTGTAAAGTGCCTGTCAACCGATTATCTTCTCGTATGCAAAGTGGCAAATAGGTTAAAGAAATAGGGAAGGAATAACCAAGGGAAAGAGAGGCCCCTTTGACCATTAGGCATTGCTCAGTGTCAGATTTCTCGGCAAAGAAATCTTGTCTGTCACAAACTGAGAAATAGTCCCAACTCGTTCAAATAGTTTAGGTGTGGCGTTTTCAAACAAAGCACCCTTTATAGGAGCCTTATAAAATTATGCCTTTGAATGAATGAAACTCTTTTAAGGAAGCTATAATACAGGTGAAAATTTCTGCTCTGATCACTTTGCTATTACAAGAAAGTATAAGATTCTGGTATTTCCTAAGCAAACACAAAAGCAGAGAAGATTGGGCTAACACTTAGGAACCATTGAAGATTGATGAAAAATAGATGAAAAGGGCTTCCTTTTTTGTTTATTTGTTTGTTTGTTTTTTGAGACAGGGTTTCACCTCACCCGGCTGAAAAGTGCTTTCAGATGTCCTACCTCAGTGGAATAAACTTTTTCTTACAACTCTACTCAGGTGAGATAAGAACATAGGAGAAGCTCGCAGACATTGACAAGAATTCCAAAGATTAATTTTAATTAGAAATACAGTAAGTTGGAGACTACTCTGAAAAACTAAAGGGAAATGCAGTGTGAAATAATGCTAGAGAAGAAGCGATACAGAAATAAGTGACTCCAACTGTTAGGGAAAAACAAAACCTGGAAGCTGGATTGTTTTCCTGTTTTGTATTGTTTTGTTTTGTTTAGTTTTGTTTTGTTTAATACAATGAAACCTAGAGTAAACTTTCAAAGCTTGGCTGGGCTGTATGTTAGCAACAGGCCTTAATGCAGCAGCCCCACCTTCCCTCTGGCAAAGAGACTGTGTTTCAGTGGTTCTCCGATTGCACCGCCTGTGACAGGGGACTTAGGCCGGGTAGTGTGTGCAGAGACTGGGGGCAGCGTGGCACTTGAAGACCCTTCTGTCCCAGAGGCTGCATTTTAAGGAAGTCTGGGTGGTCTTGAAACAAGTGGTACTTGAGACCCACTTTTATTCACTCAACAGAAATTATTTTGAAGCAAATTACAGGACAGGCACAGAAGAAACACTGAAGCTACAGCAATGGGTAAAACCAACAAAATCCTTGTATTTGTGGAGCATTAACTTTGGGGATTTGGATTATGATTGTATCATAGATAAACATAGTTATTCTTTGCATTGGATCTTTGTTTTGTTTTTTATAGGTCCTTCTTACTGTTCCACTAAATGCTACTTGCCTCACTTCTTGTTGGTTCAGTGACAATTTGAGGTATTCATTTAGATATTGTCTCAATAGCACTACCTAACTTACTAGTTAAACCATAAAGGAGGAACTATCTGTGTGGAAAAGAATACTTACCAACTAATTTTTTAAATCAACTTTCAAAAATCTGTACATATTTAAAATGATTTCTAAAGTTTTGAAACCTGAGGCACTTATTTTCTTTATAAATTATCTAATAAATAGGACAAATGACATTTCCCTAAGTATTCAGCAACAATGCTTTCTGGGCTTGGACCTAGTTCACACAACATGATGAATACACCAGGAAGGTTGAACTCACGCAGCTATGGTGCCTCCCTCTGGAAGATGGAGAAGAAAATTGAGATCAGCCAACACGCCAAGTATACTTGCTCCTTCAATGGCAACACTGAGATGAAGAGATGAGCTGACGGGATCTAGGACCCTGGCTCCTGTGTGAAAACAGGGGCTGGTGATGCTTGGACCTGGGAGCCCACTTTGCCATCATGGGCACCCCCCTATCAGAAGACTGAAAGAGCAAAAAAAAAAAAAAAGAAAGAAAACCAATGGAAGCTCTGCCATTTGAGATATCCTTGCCTCGTTCACCCATTAAATGGGTTAATTTGTGTAACAACCAAGAATATATATAAATCAACCATAATAAACACTTTATATTATAATCAGAAGTTTAATATACTTGATTTTCCCAAATATTTCAAAAAGGAGATCGAATTTTAAAAGGAAGGGGTACTGAATATATCCATTGGTACATCTTCCTCAATGTTTGTTTCTGCCTTGGACCTCTTGCATACTATGCAAGTCCTTTACCACTGTACTACACCTCCAGCTCCTCCCGAAATTGCTGTTGATACTATTTTTTTTTTCAGGTACTGGGGATCGAACTCGGGTTCTTGCACTTGAGCAGCAGGTGGCGAAACCACTGAGCTAAATCCCCGGCCCCCAATACTAACTTAATTTTTAAACAATCATCATCTCTGTCTATATGCTATTTTGTACCATCTTAGATAACAATATTAATTTCCTCTACAAAAGGAACAGGGCCAGGGATGTAGCTCAGCAGTACAGGGCCTGCCTGGCAAGCGGGAGGCTCTGAGTTTGAGTCCCAGTACCGAAACAAAAGATGAATAGAAGTCCCATTTTTTTATTGTATTATTATTTTTTTTTGGTACCAGGGATCGAACTCAGGACCTTGAGTTTGAGAGGCAGGCGGCGGAACCACTGAGCTATATCCCTGGCTCCTATTTCTTATACTATGGATTTGGGGTTAGCCACTAGAAGTGCTGGACCTTGATTAAATTTTGAATGTAGAAAATAGGGCACTAGCACAAAAACCTGGAAGAACTTCCAAGATTATTAAACTATTGATTTATGCTGTGGAACTAGGCCCCTGCCTAAACTAATAAAACCTTGCACAACCCTCTCTCTCTCTCCAAGAAATTGATGTATTACATTTCACTGTGATCCTTTTTATTTTAACTAAAATCTGTTACACAACTTTTAAAATAATTTATTTCATAACTGTTTTTCCGCTTGCATTAATGAAATTTTGCATGTGTGTATACACACATCAGGTTGCAATATTATTACTCAATGTTTTATTCTCTGATTTGGCCTAAACTTTATTCAATAGACAAACAGTGTAAATTAAGCAGTATATGGCATTTTCTGTAAATAGTTTGACTTTTCTTTATTATAGCACATGAAGTTCACCTTTTTAGTAACATTAAGAATTTATAATAATTCAAGCAGATGTAGAGGTACATATCTGTTATCCCAGCACTCAGGAGGTTGAACCAACAGGATTGAGAGTTCAAGGCCATCCTGAGCTGCATAGCGAGACTCTATCTCAACAAACCAAACAAAGAAATTTACAATAATTTCACACAATCATGTATTCCTTTTGGATGTTCAAAGACAGTTTGGTCAACTGGAGCCTTCTAAGCTGCCTGCTTTCTCTTTGGCAGTGCACAACCTCTGTGAAAACAGCCTTACCTCCCCACAGCCACAAACGTGAGCGAGCACATCTTGATTGAACTGGATACTCCTGAACACCAGGTTGTTCCACACAATGTGACGGGATAGAGTATCAAAGATATAAGTTGTAAAAATAATGAGTTCACGTGGTTGTTTCCAGTTCAACTTCAGTTAGGCTCTTTTTAAAAATATGTTTTAAGCTTTCTTTTTAAACTCTCAGCTCCTCAGAGACTTCATATGTGTGTATATACTGTATGTTATTTATACATTTATATAGTAAAGAAAGAAAAGGAAAAATAGAGGAAATAAGACATTTACACCTTAAGTGAATAAACATATTTATGAATTCATTTATTTCTTGTAACAAACTAGTTTTATTATAGCATGCAATTTTTACAGATAATGAGTTTTATTGTTTACTATGTGGGGTAGTAGTTATTCTGTATTTTTATCATCTTAGGAAAGGGAATACATTTTACTTTTGGTTTTTTTGTTGTTGTTGTTATTGTTTTTGGCACCGGGGATCGAACTCTGGTCCTTTCACTTACAGGACAGGTGGCGGAACCACTGAGCTAAATCCCCAGCCCAAGGAATACATTTTACAATGCAGCATCAAAATGAGGAAAACATGTTTAGATCCAGGGAGATTAGGAAATTGCTTTCTCTCTGTGCAACACTCCTTGTTCATATTTCCCTTTTAATCAGGCCAGGCGAGAACAGATATTACAGTATAATAATTCTACATACTTCTCTTCAGATGACACATGTTTGTT